AGGTTTGTTGCCAACATTTACCGTTCATTTTGTTCTGCTTACTCTTTTTAAAATTATCCGACTGGACAAGAGTTGTGATTTTGAATTATCAAGCTTAAATACACTAAGCAACCTCGATGTTATGCAGTTTTTCTGTCTAAAGTTAGTTAATCAAACTCTCAAGACTTTTTCTATTTGCATTGGAGAAATAACTTTCAGTTTTTATGTTTCACTTATTATTACTTTCTGTCTTTATTTTGCGTTCTAGTCTGAATACCTCTTCTTTTTATTAGAATGTTTTGAGTTCAGGGAACAGCGAGGGAAGGAAGAAGCTTTCAAAGAGTTTTCGAAACTTTAGAAATTATAAGCTGAGTTTAGAGATAGTTAGAAATTAGAAACAATTAGAAACTGAGCTTCTAGGACGTACTAAGTTCAGAGTGGTAAATTTAATTATTAATGACGGTTACTTTCTTAATTTGAACATTTGCAGTATTCCAAATGGTTAACTTTTTGAATATGCAAAGAAGTTTCAAAACGAGTGTAAAAACAATAAGTACATGTTGTGATACCACCGGAGAGTAATGCTGAATGTGCTGGTAGTAGATTTTTTTCATATTTGCATGTAAGGAATTCTGCATTTTTTATAAAAAAAAAGTTAGACTTTGGAAGATTTTTTATTTTTTTTTTTGTACATATTTATCGGTGAAATTGAAAACATGTAGAAATTTACTAGTGGCTAACAAGTGTTGTTTTGATACCGACATTTTCTAATTTAACCAATTAGAGTATTTTACGAGGTTTGACGAGGTGAATTACGCTGAATTAGCTGGATAAGCTAACTTAACAGTGCATTTAAAAACCCTTCAATCTTAGTTTTAATAACCAGCTTCATTATCACAATGTAGTGGTTGGCCAATAGATGCTTTTGAGAAACGGCTGGACTGCAGAAACTGACAGGTACCTACAAACCAGTGACAAATTTGCTATTATTGTAAAAAGGTAGAAAAATTATGCCAGTTATAAGCTAAGCAGCATTGTTGAAAAATCGGCAGATATTGGGCACCATTTAACTTTTACTGGGTACTTCTTAGACATTAGTGTGTTCATTTTATTTTGTTGTTACTTATGTAAACTGGTGTAGGGAAAAATCTGTGTTTTTGCTGAATAAATGTGGATCGCATTAAAATCAAAAATAGCTATATCTTTCAACTGTTTTAGGCGAAATATAGTAGTTTTTTTGTTTTTTTTCTTGTTTCTGGGATCTCAAATTTCTTTTGCTAATTCTATACATCAGTTGGTTTTTAGGACGTAAAATTTGTTGAAAGTAATTTTGCCGTTTGTCGGTTGTTAGTGAATGGTTCTTTTGTTGAAAATTTTCAGCGAAAGATTTGTAACTTCTTCCAGTGGTCAAATTATTCACTTTTTCTCTAAAGTTGATTTTTCGATTTATTTCGTTATTTGGTTAGCCTTTTTACATCCTACAGCAGGGCTGTGTTCTGATTGCTTGTAATCTCAGTTACTTAAAAAAATGAAAGTCTTTCATGATTTTTTATTTAGCTTTCGTTTTTATAATTATTCAGCAAGTAAATTGTAAGTGGATTTTTTATAATCTCTGAGCAAATTCAAACTTTATCTGAAAACGAAACTTTTTCAGGGGAACAGTGAAACAAATTTAGGATAGAAATTTTGCAAAATCTTAGTAGTGACTTTTAGTTCTGTTCAGATAATATCAGGTTCAACTGATCTATGTGCATATATAGTTGATATTAATGAAGTAACTTTAAAGGCATTTCAGTTAAGCATTAGGAGAGCAATGAAAATGTAGTAAACAGGTTTAATGAGCAACAAAAAGTTTAGTTGAATAAGCTCATTAATCTTTTTTTTTTTCTTTAGTTGCTTCAGTTGATTAATTGATTTAGTGATTCAGGTCTCTGAACTCTTAAGCGCTTTGTTTAGAAGACAATCTTTGTGTTTTTTTAAAAAAGTAATCTGGCGGCTTTTCGATGAATGAAGCATAGGTTAGCTACTTGTCTGGTATTTTTTGTAGGTAAGGGGGGTATTTGTTTGTATTATTTTATGCCAACTGTTTCGTATCAGTTTATGATTAAGGATATTTGTTTGCAATATGGACTATTTCTTCGGCTGACATACCTACAAAATGAAATGCATTAGTTGTTTAGTTTTAACTTCTCGAATAAAGCATTGAAAAGCCGCTCAATTGTTGCTCCAGTTTAATACTTTGGAGTTGTCGTGATGGAATGGAGAAAAATGAAATGGTGAGAAGGTAAGGATTTTTTTTTGATGATGTCGCAGATGACTTGGTCGTTTGCCTGGCAAGCTGTTGTTAGGCAACAAAGTGCACATTTAATTCTTCCGCTTTAATCGCCAACATCCCATTAATATTATTGAATATTTCATCTAGTTAACTAGTTGCTTTCGAATAAAAGAGAAGCTTTCCTTGAAGATTTTTCAGTTTTTTCTACTGCAAAGGTACTTCTTTTTAACCTCATTTTTCTTTCTTATATGAATATCATGTTCCTCTTTCATATAAGTTTATGGCGTTTTTATGCTACTTTTTTTTTTGCTGCGTTTCTGGATATCTCGTTGATAGCAAATGACTGACAAATTCAGCAATAAAATAGTTTGTAACAAAAGAACGATTGAAGGCGGCTACTATAACATTTATGTAGTATCATTCACAAATTAATTTGAACCTAAATGTGCTTTACTACTTCGTTTATTCGACTGACTGTAAGAGATGAAACTAATAATCATTTGTGGCTCCTGCTGAAATTGTTGGCATAAAGGGACTGCTCTTATCTATGTTTTTATTTCATCCATCCACTGAGAAAACTCCTTTTAATTGGCTGCGATAAAAGAATTTTAGGTTTTGCAGACAGTGCGAGCATCGGAATGTCTGCGTTCAAGTTCCCTTCCCTTTTACACCTCTATGTTTTCTGGACTTTTCAGTCAATTTTTGCTTCTAATATTGTAAGTTTTGCTCTCCTTGAATCAGTTTATTATGTAAATTTTTTTGTTCTTTTTTGCTTTTTTTGCTCTCAGTTCTGTGTTTCGTATTTTCATATAGCTGTAGACGTTTTTAAAAACGCCAATTTGTACTTGATGAATTCAATAACAGCTATTCTTTGAACACAGCTTTTATAGTGAACCGATTTTCTTTAAACCTTTTTTTCAACTTTTGATCGTTGCCCAAATGGGTATCCGTAGGAAGTTATATTTTTAAACGTATCAAAAATTTGTGAGTTATTTTAGTATTTTTTGGCAGAATTTTAATTATTGGATGCAAGTGTGTAAAGTTAATGGTTTGATTTTATACTTTTAACCTTCAGTTCTCAAATAACGGTTTTATACTCTCACAAGTATAAAACTTTTGACACTTATTAATTAAATATAAATAGTACTTAGCAGTAATTTTTCTAAGTTTTAAACTAATGAAGTGAAACGTCAATTAAACAGTCATGTTATCTTTTTTTTAGATATCTGGATTAGTTTTTACAGCCAGTGCATTTTCTATTCACCTTCCATATGCAGTGATATCAAAGAATTGACGTATCTGACTTTATTTTTCAAGCATAACTAAAATTTAATTCCATAATATGGCTCTTTAAAAAACTAGTGTTGAAGCTTTTGAAGATTTTGAGATTGACTGGAAGTCAAAACTTTGTGACGTTATTTTTTTTCGCTAAAATGCTACAATGCTCCTTACTGTATTGTTTTTCCGAAGTGGTTAGTGGGCCGTTTGGAAGGTTGTATTAGGCGGATTCCGTTTTGAGTACTGGAAATTACTCTGTTCATAACTGCATTATAAAACCGTCAGAAGTTATTTACTGTGAAGTTTTAAACAGAACTGTAT